TACGTGTTGGTAGATTTAATATGTTACATTTATTTTAAATATTTTTACACATGTTTAATTAACAAAATAATATTTAGTCGAAAGGTTTAGTCAAGTTTAACCAATTTTTTTCAGTTCAAATATGTTTCATTTTCTCGTGAAAAAAACTTTATTTTCATCACATTTTTTTTGTTATATTTTAAGTTCACGATGTCTGATTATTTCACATGAAAATTCTATATTTATATGCGTATGCAGAAAATTATTTGTGTTTATTTTTTCACGCTGATATGAATTTTCCATATTAATATTATATATATTTATATTCGACTGTCATCGAAGCGTCAGTTACACAGTAAATAATACTAAAATGAGAAAGATATTTTGAATTCTCAGTTTCATGAGAACGCGATCGAAGATTTAATGGTTCCTTCGAATTATTTTCATCAACTTAATTCTGCTCTCTTGACCTTTTCGCACAGCTTTAATCGTCTGTTTACAGTCGGCCTCGGTCGGATAATTTAAATTCAATTGCACTACTTAATTTTATTCCGTTTGGAATTTCATTTTATTTGAACGAAATATAGCGCTTTACATTGCGGTGGGGAATATTTGGAAGGATTTAAAATTGGAAAATTGAATGATGCCGAAAACGTTTGGTATCGTAGAATCGATTGACCGAATTCCTCCGTTTAGCGATATATTCGCGGATTTAAATTCGCTTATTCTCTCTCTTTAAAGATTGACGGACGCGAAATATGCGGGATTTTATGCCACGATATATATACATACATATATATCGAATGATGGTTTAAAAGCCGAGAAATTGGAAAATTTATGAGCTCTATAAAAACTCTCTTATCTTTCGAAATCCATCCTGTCATTTATCGATCTCATCAAAACCGTCGTCGATTTCCTATATTAATAGTGACAACCGTAAACGATTTTATTGTGATAAATATTAATCAGAGAAACTCATAAAATGCTTTCAACACCATATAATTACCATGATTTTCAGGGTAAATTCTAAAAGAAAATTCTTTCCGTGCATCAGTCATTTAGAAACTTCGCAAATGTGGAACGATATAAAATGCAGAAAAATAAATAAAAATGTCGACATCAAAGATGTGCGATTCTTCTCTCCGAATTCGCTTTGTTCGTCGCTTTGGCAATTGTGCGTGCAATGACCCGGCAATTTATCTCTCGCGAGAGAGAGAAAGACAGAGAGAGAGAAAAGTCTCGGCGAAGTTTGAAATAAAATAATAGAGAAGTCCTCGCGTTGTGCGTTAAACGTCCACTTATGTTAAACGCACGCATATAACGGAACGCAGAGATTGCACTAAATTCCACAGTCCAATTGCATCGCGAATTGCAGCAGAGCGAAACGACGACGGTAGTCTATGTGCGTGGCCGATTCGAGAGATAGCGAGGGCATAATATATACTCCGTTTCTCTCCTAAATGCTCTCTCGTATGATACGATAGGTTTTCCTACAGCCTGCTCACACTTAATACGATATCATTGAAACACGTAGAGCGATACATTTTCCGATATCAAACAATGTCGCATTAATTGCTCGCGCTTCAGGCTCATCTAGCATTTTTTTCTTATCATTTTTGGAACGTTACAGCAATATGACAGTTGTTAACTAATTGTTTCATTCGAGCTCCGTAATAGAAAATTTTATCTTTTTAATTTCTTTTTTACTGATACGTAATTTCAGTATTATTTGTTTTGTAAGCACTAAAAGAGTTTTCTTACTCGTTAAATAAATAAGTAAATATGTGTATATGTGTGTGGAAGGAAGGAATCGAAACTTTTTTCTCTGCTTTTTTAATGTGAAAATATATTCCCTTTAATTTGCTTACTCATAAATATATCATTTTATTTATTTCTAGAATTTATTTTTCTGTATTTTATATCGTTCCACATTTGCGAAGTTTCTGAATGACTGGTGCACGGAAAAAAATTTTCTTTTAGAATTTACCCTGAAAATCATGATAATTATATGGTGCCGAAAGAATTTTATGAGTTTCTCTAATTAATTTTCTTATTTACATAGTAAATATACATTATTAATATTTTTATTGTGATAAATATTAATCGGAGAAATTCTTATAAAATTCTTCCATATTGTTCCACGATTATCATGATTTTCAGGATAAATTCCAACTAAGAGAAAATTCTCCCCGTCTATATTTTTATATTTATTTCTATAATTTATTTTTCGACTTTTTATATCGTTCCACATTTGCGAAGTTTCTAAATGACAGAACTGATGTACGGAGAGAATTTTCTTTTAAAATATATCCTGAAAATCGTGATAATCGTGGAAAAATATTAAATTTTATAAGAGTTTCTCTGATTAATATTTATCACAATAAAAATACTAATATCTACCACAATAAGATATAAAATATGTTCGATTAATTTTACCACGTACACATTTTTTAGTGTGATAAATATTAATCAGAGAAACTCTTACAAAATTCTTTCAATACCAAATTCTCCCTCGATTATTTTCAAAATATATATTCGATATCAAAGAGCCTGAAAATTCTTAATCTCGTGTATATTTTTTCTATATTTTCATCGTCCTACATTTTCAAAGTTTCTAAATGACAGAACTGACGTATAAAATAGATGAGGAAATGAAGAGAGCTTCCTGCACGATAAATTGAGAGATGCACACAGGGTTGTTAGTCTTCGAGCATAATTAGGTGGAAATAATAAAATGCTGGAAAATCTAGTCGCATTTGCGAGAATGCAAAACCAACTACGTTCTACCTATATGACAGACGAAAAAAGTTGCGCCTTGCAAGCGAAGTGACCGTGTAAACTTTTGCACAAAGCTGTCCGTGAAACACGATAAACGTACTACTCCAGTCTAGAAAACACGTCATGTCTCTCTTTATTCTCTCTCTCTCTCACTCTTCGCGACGTTAGAGGTCTTTGCTTTATACCATATTATACACACAAGTCCGTCGTTCTGCAAACATTTGAGTCATGTAGAATCAATGCTCGCCAAGTTCAATATCTATAGAATTTATGTTACATCTATATCTGGCGGTGGTAATCCGTGTCTTGCAAAAATCCCCTTAAAAACTTGGAGCAACCGCGCAAAGTTTCCCCTTTTTAAGACACCATCGCGCTGATTCGGTCGAAAAATCGTAGTTGAAAATTTCGGAATTATTTTTTTTTTCCTTCATCGCGTCGTAATTTATTCTTTCTCGCCGAGGACGTGTAACGGAAAAAATTTTGACGCCAATAATTTTTTTTTTTTCTTTCTCTTTCTCTCCGCGCGTGCGTGAGAGAAATAAAATGTGCACGACGAGCAGAAACGCGTTCTGTGCAGTTTGTAACGGACCCGAGAGAGCAAACCTGTCTCGTAGGGGCCCCCCCATTGAAGAGAAGGGGGATGTGATGGGGAGGAAGGGGAGAGGCCTCCTTCCCTTCGAGAGGGAACGGAATATCTCGGGTGAACCTCTCTTCTCGGCCAGGTTTCCAGCAGCCTATCGATCGCCAGTGGCTGTAATTAACGTTATAGTCGACTGAAAAATAATACCGCGAGAGATAATATCCCCGCTTGATCTCATCTGCGATTTTTTCCTCTCTTTTTTCATTACCTTTGTAACCCTGTTACATTAGAGCGGTGTGCATGTACGTGTGGGAGGAATCGAAATTTTCTGCTTTTATATACGCAAATTTATTCTCTTTAACTCGCCTCTCGTAAATACTACGTTTTATTTATTTATATATACTTTGATTTTATTTATAAATTTATTTTATATTTTATTTATCATTCTACAGAGTGTCCGGTAACTAACGGACCGATGATTAAGGGCGGATTCTCTGGCCAATTTGGAGACGATTTTTCCTTAGTAAAAATGTGAAGTCAATAATTTTTGAGTTATAAGCGATTGAAAAAAATGGGTTTTTTTGAAAACTAAACGTTTGGAAGTTAAAAGTCTAACATAATTACATTCCTCAGTTAATTTCAGGTAGAGTTTACTATAATGAAATTTTAATTTGAGGCTTAGTTATAAAGATACATAATGACAAATATTGGAAAGTTGTAAAAAATGATGACTTTTTTCGACATTTTCGCTGAGGAAAAATCGTTCCCAAATTGACCAAAGAATCCATTTGTAATCGTTGGTCCGTTAGTTACCGGACACCCTGTATATTCTCGAGTTTTTATGGAATAAAGATTAAGGCTGCGTATTTTTGCGTGGCAAATTTTTTCGCGACGCGCATCCAAATGACACTTTCGTGAAAAATCGCGCAGCCTTTTCCTTTCTCATCGTATATCGGATGATAAATATTATATTATTTTTGCCATCCGGCGAAAATGTATCGTCGCGCCAACACGAGATTGACCGTGAAACCGAGACGTTTAATGAACCAAAGGAATTGTTTACTCGATGCCGAATAAGAGTCTAATCACCACCTCATCTTCTTGAATAATTTATCAGCTGAATCATTTATTATTACATTTCCACATTTTTTCACACTCTCGCGACATCTTCGAGCGTGTCTAAAACGACATCGAAGTGCGACGATCTCGCGGATCAATTTGATATAAAATATAGATTTATAGAGCCAGGCTTTGCGGTCTCGTAATTTTCGAACAGACCAGCTCAAGTTAATACAGCGGTGTTATCGCATTCCTGGAATCGCCGCGCCTCGTCGACTGCGCTATTGTCATGCTAATTTCGCTCCGAGCAATTTATTTCTGAATTCAACGCTCCGATAAATAAATTCCGCGACCCGACTCGTCATATTAAAGTTCAAGTTTACAGATATAAATTTTATTGTGAGTTAAAAAAAAAAATGTCACCTATCTTTTCCAAACACGAACGAGACGATAAGACGACTTCTCTCGACTAAGAGGCTTCCTCCTTTCCTGCTCGAAAAAAAATGTGAAAGCGCATTCTTCTGGAAAGAGATAAGGAAGAAGGAAAAAGAAGGATAATCTCTGTACGGATTTTTCCTAATCTGTGGACATTTTTTGATTTCAGTACAAGGACCGAGCATATCTGGGAACGTTTGAGAAGCACGTCCCCCGAGACACCCCCGATCAAAATCACTCGCCTAACCTTTCCCCTGTCCTCCTCGCCCTCATCCCTTCCCTCCGCAAGTATCGAGAAGATCTCTCATCGAAACCGCAGGATCCGAAACCACGCGATGGACGGTATGGACAACAAGCCGGTGTTGAACGATGATCCGTCGGTCACCCTGACCATCCGCCTGATTATGCAGGGCAAAGTAAGTCGCTGCATGTTGTTCTACCGATGGGGGATGATTTCCAACAACGTGCACAGACAGCGATATAGTTGCGACCTAGTATTCTTCATCTACAACAGCGAACGTTGCACGCTGAAAAAAATGACGAAGTTGACACATATTTAGTTCAATACCGCCAAATGAAGCATTTATTTCAAGCAAATAAATATTTTTCATATCAAATCAATATTATTAGTTTCAGATAAATGATTTATTTGACAGTATTGAAATAAGTACTTATACATTTTTTTCAGCACAGAGAGAATTTTCTCTTATACACTGAAAAAGAATTAAATCTTTAGGCTAAATGCAATTTTGTTAATTAAACTGATTTCATTGATATAAAAATATTTAAATTAAATATAACATGTTAAATCTAACAAAACATATTTGCCTTAAATATGCTAATATAGGTTAACAAAATAGTAATTTAATTGAAAGTCAAATTAACAAATTTTTATTCAGTGTAGAATTTGCTCTGAAAATCATGATAATCTTGGAAGAATTTTGTAAGAATTATATGTATACATAGTAAAATTAATCGAACACATTTTTTATTGTAATAGATTTTTTTTTTTTTTTTTTTTTTTTTTGTAAAATTGTATTAATCAGAGAAACTTATAAAATTCATATTGTCCCACGATTACCATGATTTTCAGGCTAAATTCTATGAGAAAATTCTGCCCGTGAAATCATTTTTTTCTATAGAGTTTTTTTCTATAGACTTTTCCAAAGTTTCAAGTTTATATAAAATTCCGGTTTTTACCGGAAGAAGTAAACTTAAAAATTTTTATAAACTTGAAACTTTGGAAAAAAGCTATGTAAAGTTATTATTACTAAAGTAATTAATAATTTAATAAAGTAAGAAACGAAGCAGCTAAAGGTCGAAACTGTAAACACTGTATTGTGTTCTGTTGCTGGAAAGAAATCCATAGCTTCGCACATCGAATTATACACTTTAAATTGACATTTCGATTGATCGATCATAGAGTATTTTATAGTTTCATTTCTCACACACTCGCTTCATACGATTTTTCTGATTTGTCCAAGAATGTCTCGATTAAGTTTTCTATAAGAAATTATATATTGAATCTCATACGAGAGATATACAATTAATATACTTTTTAAACGACAATTTTTACGATAATCGGATAATTTCATATATATGTATATATTTATATATGCATAAATATATATACACCGGCCATTGCTATTTGAGATGATTAACTCGCGTGACACGCTGTGAAATTGGAGAAGTAGAAGTAATAAGATAATGCATTATCGAGGGCGGAAATGCGTGCATACATATATGTGTGCATGTATATTCGAAATCTCGTATCAAACAGCTTCCCACAGAGCATCAACTGATATCGGTTTTCCGAGGGGGAGGATGCATGTTTATTCAAAATATAAATCCATACTACGTATCGTGTCTCGAACACATTGCGTGTCTTCTGAAATGCATTTTAGAAATGTCAAACGCGTATCGATCATTTTGTTTTTGTACAGAGAATTCTAAAATTGTGTCGACAAAAAAATTTGATACACGGAGAAAATTTTCTCTTAGAATTTATTCTGAAAATCATGGTAATCGTGGGACAAAATGGCACCGGGAGAATTTTACCAGAGTTTCTCTGATTAATATTTATCGCAATAAAAAATATTAATATGTACACAGTAAATTTTACTATACGTATACATATAGTTAAATTAACTCGAACTTATTTTATATCTTATTGTGATAAATATTTAATCAGAGAAACTCTTATAAAAATTCTTCCAAAGCGTTTGGAAATTACTGCTCCATTAACGCGATAATTAAAAAAAAAATATATATATATACATATATATCTGCCGTCGCTTTAAACTTCAAATGCTTTGATGACCTGTAGATTTGTCGCAATCTTCGGACAAGGAGACACAATTGCTTAGCTGGCGTGGTGACAATAAATCTCAGATAAAGGTCGTTCGCGTTTCTCTCTCTTCTCTCTGTGATTTTACTGTTCTCTTTTTCGACAATTATTATTAAATTATTTACGAGAGGTCGACACATTATTCGCAGAGTTCTGGCCCGCAATCGCGACTCTACTCCATTGAAATAGGACTTATTTAATAAGTCGTATTAAAAAGAATTAGAACCCTTTTCTCGCATAAAAGTAGATTATCTCGTCGACATTGACAATGTCAACTTGAATTGTGACGTGGAAAAACGAAAATAGGATTCTGAAATAAATTATGTATATTAGCGCTGCTTTGCATTATATCAAGGCCGTCTTATTGTATCGAAATAAATGTGCAAATCTACGTTTAAGGATTGAATAACCGGGGCGTCATCTGTCATCGATGTAATGTCATTGTCGAGGCAACTTGAAGTCATTCATCATTACGTTGAGTTATACGCGCGATTCCTTTCCGTTAAATAGTGGAGCGAAAACTCCTTCCGTTGGTTCCTCGAGTAAAAAGCATTATCCGAAATTATCATCGGAAATGCGCACGAGGCACAATGCGTCTCGAAGCTGCAGATTATACGAGTGTTGCTTGATGCGCTGCCAAGAATTTGCAGCTTCTCGCGTAAAACTCTATCCTGTGTATACACAGTGTCATATAACTAGCGAATTTTCTAGCCGCAAAAAAATTTGGCAGCAGACTACGCCTGTTTGGCTACATCCCGGAATGAATTTCTATGTTTATCAAATAAACATTCGATAAAATTGACATTAATTTATCGTGCAACTAATTTTTTTTAAATATATACATATAGTTAAAGTTGTGCATTAAAATTTAAAGTAGACATTAGCTTTATATCGAATTTACGCACTGAAAAACAATTTTTTAACTCGACTAAACCTTTCAACTAAATATTATTTTGTTAATTGAACGTATAACATATTAAATCTAACAAAACGTATATTTCACTTAAATACTAATATATGTTCAATTAAGAAAATAGTCGAAAGGTTTAGTCAAATTAACACGTTTTTTTCGTGTAGAGTCTTGCATTTTGTGGATAATTTTCAAAAACATTTTCGCTTTGATAAAATTTGATAAAATTATGTGAATTCCATTGCAAATGATCGGGAGAAAAGTCAGCTATTATTTGTCGAGAAAAAGCATCGTGGTTGAAAAATTGTACCACTCTCGGATTATATTGAAAAATATATGTATATGCGGATCTCTCTCTCTCTTTTGATATTTTTATATCCGTTTGAGTCTCATAAGAATATTTTAAGAGAGCGAGAGAGAGAGAGCTTCTGCGGAATTTCAATTGGAGGATTCACGGATCAGAAGAGAGGATAACTATTGAAAATATCATGATAAGAGATTGGAGTATAAAGGGCCATCGCACGATTACACAAACCTTTTAATTCCACAATGCTGGAGAGAGGGCATTTGTGGTTATTGGCAAAAGTATAATTTGCGATATGCGTTTTTAGTCTCCGCTCTCGCGTATTATCCTTTCTTTGCGGATATCTGTAAAAGTGACACATTGTTGGTTATCTCTGTCCAAGATATTAAATCTCGAATCACAAATTTTGCTTGGAATAATTAGCAATTTATCATCCTATTACAAGCTCTTAATTTTCTATCTTGAAGGCTTATAATCATTTCTCTTTTACTTCGAAAAATTCGCGATTATTGTCAGATTAATAGATACATATCTCGCGAATTAATTACGAATTCTACGAATGCATAAATATCGAGAAATAATAAACGTCTCTTTTTTTTCCGCAAGTTTATCTCGCGGAAAAATTCATCCTGCAAAATCCGAGAGAGTGAAAGTTCCTCGTAACGTAATCCGATGCGATATGTATCGATAGTTACGTCATTCACGCGCGAGATTATCGCGAAGCGGAATTTCTAGCGGAAAAATAGCTCCGGAGCTGGGCTTTTTGCGCGCGACAAGCGTCAAAGTTTATTTAAACTCGTGTCGCGATTCGTTTTACCCTCGTTTTAGGAACACGTCACCTACCACCGTTTCTGCTTGTAATTAATTATCGTGCACGAGGTGCAATATCGCTCGTCGTAGCACGAGTAATTAATGTCCGCCGTCTCGGTAATTAATCGCGTTAGCTAGACGCCCGATGTCCCTTTCGACGTACGGGATCTTTTCGTCCCGGCGATAGTACACTCTTGCCAAGTCATATAATTCCGCTATTAATGCTCTTTCTATAGACGGTACAGGTGCAGCCATTTTTTTAACAGCTTTAGTTCGATTCTTTAAGTTTATAACGAATTTCGATTTTTTTTTTTTTTATAAAAGCGATATGTGACGATAAAATGTAGATGTTCTTAAGATTTTTCGAAATTGGGGAATTCTAATAAAAATAAAATCGCGTGAATTGAATCGTAAAAGGAATATTCCCAGATTACGTATGGATGGATAATTCGTGCTAAAATGCGACATAGAAATTATTGCATTTTGCTGCGCACATTTGAACAATATACTCGGTCACTTGACCAAGATTTTAACTCTCTTTATCGATGTACGAATCACCCTTTTCGAGGGTTTTTCAACGCACTGTCAATCAACTCGTATCTGATTTTCTATAAATGAATCCCTGTTTTCTGCATGAGAAAATATTTCTCTGACAAATCTCATTACACATATACAACTGCGGTTTTTTTTACATCTCGATGATACGCTGCCGATGACGTCATGACATATCCCTTCGTCGTTTTTATTTTTCGCGATGGTTACATTTTTTTCCAGTTACAACAGGATGAAAATCAACTCATTTGAAAATCACACGATGCACACGAGCGGGATCTTACTAATTACACATGCATTTATCACGAACGCTGGATTAAATAAATAATCCAATTGCAATATTACGCGATTCATCCTTTGCGGATTAAAATTTTATAATATTTTATAATATAGTATTGTTCATGTTTCTACGCGTGAAACTAAATTTAAGACTCGCATCTGCTTCTTGAAATACTTACACATATTACGTTATTGTATATTGTAATTTTTTAAATCTCCAGTTTTATAATTAGATCGTTTTTGGAAATTTCTCTTTGACAGGTCACTTAAAAAAATGGACTTATTCATAATTTGAACGCGATAGATCTTTTTAGACATCGAGCGAGAAGGAGCGAGGTTGCGCGTCCTCGGGTCATCGTTTTACAAACGATGTTCTGAACGCATGATTTGGCGATGACGTTTATTAGCACTTCTTTCTTTGTCTCATCAATGCCGCGTATTGCAACACTCGTTTTGGAAGCTTCGCAAACCAGTAAACGGATAGTCGAGTAGCCTCTTTCGCGCGAAATAAATACGTCTAGCCGCATTTTTGGCCGGGGTGGCATTATGTCTGCTACTTAGACTCTGGTCTTCTAGGACACACTGGACCCCGGCCAGGGCCGAAAGCCAATTTGCGAGTTGTCGCGGTTTCATTATCCCTCCGATGGAACGGCATTTGCTCCGTAAACTTCATCTTGCGATACAAATAGTATACAAAGGATAAATTTAAGCGACCAAATCTAGCACATTTTTATTCATTAAAACGACGTTTCGACCATCAGCTTGTGGTCCTTATTAAGTGCAGTCTTCAGTGGTCAATGTACCATCTGACATTCCAAATAACGCGAATCGAACATATTAAATTCAACTCAATTATAAGCCTATCAGTATGAAACTTCGTTACGAAAAATGAGTATGCAAAGAGTATGTGTTTTTTTGATACATGAAAGAAAACAATTCTTCTTTTTCGATCTCTCGTTATCAGAAATAAAAATTTGTCTAAAGTAGATCCTTTCTTATTATTTATTGTTATATTATAATTATGTTCTGTCTTATTTGGCTTTATTAGATTTTTATAGTTATTCGGTTGTATTTTTATGTATTGTTTATTAAAGAGATTTATTTCCCATTAAATAAATGAATAAATAAATTAATAAATATGGGGATTCCATCAACTTTGCAGTCATTGTTTCGTCCAACAATGTCATGGCCGTGTCTTTCCGATCTTTCACGATACTATACTACGACGTAAATATTTGGCTCCAGTCCAGTTCGGGTTTATCTTACCAGGAGCCGGACTTGTTATCTTAATATTTTTTTTTCCGTCTCAGAGCAGCCACGTAGTATCAATCTGTCTCTTCAGCTTTATCGGTTCAATCCAGTTGAAAGCGACGGATGACGATTAATCTCAGCATCGAGGGAAGGGACTCTTTTTTTTACGATGCAGCATTTCCTTTTTGAGTTTTTGAACAGATCCCTGGACTCCAGCGAGATTTGCTGGCCCTCAGCCAGGGCTGTCGGCCAATTGTTCATTCGCGAGTCTTCAGGTAGTCCTGTTCTAGTCGTCTAGTGATCGTAGAACGATTTCAAAAATTTCCTCGACCCTACACTATCTCTATTTTTTTCCCCAGAGTAAACTAATCCTCGTGATAAACGCGATAACGAAATTGTTATCGGGAATTTCTCCCGTCGCTCACCACTTGTTGCTTATTTTATATTTACGACGTTTCGTCTGGTTTTGCATGCTTCTCGAATCGGTACATGATTTAGCACGTTGAACGCTATGAACGCAGTGAATTTTTCAGCTCTCTCTGTCGCTATGTTATTCGCTATTTTCCAGCTTTTATACGACAATGCGGTATTTACAGAAGTAGGACGCAATATCGGAAAACTCTCTTTTAATCTTATCTCATAAAAGTAGGCTGTGCGCACTCAAAGTATTGACCGGGCAGAACGTGGCTATACATAGCCTTCTCTCTCTCGATCCAGTATCCGAGGAGAGGAATCAGCCACGATGATCCTGTCTCATGTTGGGTTGATAATGTAGCCCGACGCGATCTGATCTCTCGAGAATTTGCAATCTCGCCGATTCGTCGGTGACCCTCGTGGCTGGCGCATCGCCAAACCTTCTCCTCGCTCATCGTCTCGCTGTCTTCTTGTTCCGGCTATATTTGCCTCGGCGTGCATCTAATTCGTCGACGATGACGCTTTGCCCGATCGCGGTAACCTCGTCCACGTCAATAGGAATTCGCGAATGACTGCAATGCCGTATCTAATTGACTTCTCGTAGCCGTTGTCGTAAACCCGATTAAGGTCAGCATTCGCGAAATAGAAAAGTGAGTTCGCGATTTTACTAACCAAAGCGCCTGATTCGATCATTTTTAACTCGATCAAATGCGCCCAGATGGTGCAGGACGAGCTTTTTTCACCCTTGCGATGAAACTTTGATGATACTTCCAATTGAGTGAATAAACGAGAAACGATAAATCTAACATGAGATGTGTGAAACTCTACATGGAGAGAATTTTCTCTTAGAATTTATCCTGAAAATCATGGGAATTGTAGGACGTGGTATTGAAAGAATTTTATGAGTTTCTCTGATTAATAAATAATTATCACAATAAAAAAAATATTAATATGTATTGTACATAGTAAAATTAATCGAACATATTTCATATATTATTGAGGTGGATATTCATATTTTTATTGTGGTATAAATATTAATCAGAGAAACTTTTATATAAAATCCTTCCAATATCATATTGTCCCACGATTACCATGATTTTCAGGGTAAATTCTAAGAGAAAATTCTCTCTGTGTACGTTCCAAGGTACATTGGCATTTCGTCCGGGAGGCATCGTCTAAGTTTAGATAAAGCGCAGAAATATACCTGCTATACCGTTTTCTCGGTGGCCTAACAGTGACATTATGTTGAGGTCAGACAGTGTCAGGGCAGACGTAAAGTCTAATTGGACATCAGTTACTTACGTATCCGAAGTTAAATATAAACCTGTCGTGTCATTTTTGTCATTCATCTTGTATATTCGTCTCGTAGTTACTTCCTCTTACTCATCTGATTGATGTTCGAAAATGCTATTGTATCTGGCAGAATCAAACATCTGCACATAATGTAACTTTCGTACTGTCGATCGATGGTCGAAATGTCATTGTATTTATTTTAATAATTTTGTACATTTTCATAAGCTTATACTTTTTTATTTCTAGCAGATTCGCAAACAATTATTTAGGATATGATTAATGAAACGTTATCGAGTTTATGTAACAGGATCTGTACTAGGATGATGCAAAACTAATACAATATTCTTACTTTGTTACAGGAAGTCGGTAGTATTATCGGGAAAAAAGGAGAGATCGTCAAGAGGTTCCGCGAGGAGGCAAGTATCAATTACATTCTAGTTGCCAGATGTGCATGTGTCTTTTCGACGAGGAAAAATAACAGTATAGTATAGTCGCATGTATAATGTCACGTCAAAAGACGATACTCTGCACGAAAGCATGTAAATTATTATTGCAATCTCGCAGTAGTTTTTTTCAGATATCGAGGACAAGTAAATTTACACATCTTTCTCAAATCTGTTTTTCTGTTCCTTTTACTAATTCAATCTTTTAAAAATAGCAGACATTGATTCATCTATTGTAATGTACAACTTCTAAAATAATTTATTGCATATTTGTATGACTAATAATATTTTTTTTATACAGTCTGGCGCGAAAATTAACATCTCCGACGGTTCCTGCCCGGAGCGAATAGTGACCGTCACCGGGCCGACGAACTCAATCTTCAAGGCGTTCACGCTAATATGCAAGAAGTTTGAGGAATGGTGCTCCCAATTCCACGACATCCAGGGTGGCGGTGCCGGCGGTGGCGGCGGTGTGTCGAGGCCGCCCATCACCCTCAGACTGATTGTCCCCGCTTCGCAATGTGGTTCCTTGATCGGCAAGGGTGGTTCCAAGATCAAGGAAATTCGTGAGGTCACCGGCGCCTCTATTCAAGTCGCTTCCGAGATGCTGCCTAATTCGACGGAACGTGCAGTAACCATATCTGGTACCAGCGAGGCGATTACGCAGTGCATATATCATATTTGCTGCGTTATGCTAGAGGTATGTATACATGGTCCGATCGGTCTAGTCTCGTCATAGTTTGTATGAATTATTGGGATCACACTGCTCTATAACACTTGACAAAAAGACTATTCATATTTGTAGCGTCATTAATTTGAGTATTCAAAATATAATTCAAAATTTAATTGATTCAACCTCCAAGTTTAAATACTTCGTTGTCAAACTATGATGAACTAGATCAGTCTATTAAAGTCCAGAATAAATTAGCGCCAGTAACAAATTTTGATTACATTTAAATGATTTCCAAGCCTTTTAATTATACGAAATAACTTTTTCTGAACGCCAATTGATACATCACTCTGGACTTTAATAGGGTAAAAGGGCTACCCTTTACGACGTCGGACGCCGTATCAAATCTGTAATGACTTGATCAGTGTATTCGCACTCGTGCGTGTGTTTCTTTCTGTTTCAGTCCCCTCCTAAAGGTGCCACGATCCCTTATCGCCCCAAACCCCAAGTCGGTGGGCCAGTGATCCTGGCTGGTGGGCAAGCCTACACCATCCAGGGTAATTACGCGGTGCCCGCCCACTCGGACGTAAGTACAGTATTACCATTACCCGCGCCCGCTGCCGGGCCCGCCCCGCCCTCGCTGAACACCCAAACTTTGGCGACCTCGCCCTTCGCGGCCCACCCTTCGTCCTCGGCCTTCGCCGCTTCTCACGGGCACCCGCTCCTAGCCACGGCCCACCTTACAACCCCACATCATCCTCTCCATCCGAGCCCCTTACACGCCAGCGTGGCAGGCCTCGCCGACCCCCTGCTGAAGAGTGGACACTTGCAGGCAGCCCTCCCGCCCGCACACCTCGTGGCAGACGCCGTAAGTCTTTTGTTTTTCGTGATCCATCCTCGCCCCGTACCTTTTCTCGACCACACGATACCAGGCTACCACCGCGGTATCTTTCCGAATAACATATACATACGATGGATTTCCGTTATCCACTTGTCCAAGGAAATTGATACACAACACCCCCTGTTCAGTGTCCCCTCACTGTACACGATCCTTGATGTGTCCGGACAAATTTCAACCCGACGGTGGCAGATGGTTTGAAGTTGGAACGATTACTAAAGAGTTGGATATTTCTGAAGAAAGAAAAACATTTCCTTATCTTTGACAAAGTATGACTACAAATTCGATCGGCTGATATTGAAATTAGCCAATTTCAACAATTAGTTTGAAACAATGAAATTTTATAGCGGTTGTATAAATCATTTATTTTCAATTTAATATTTATTGCTTTTTTTTTATACGGCAGTTAGGAGAAATCACTCGTGCAGTGAAGCAATGCTCGTTCAAGGCATTAGTAGAATTGCTTTGCGGTTAAGCTAGCAATTTCGAGGTAGAAAATTTTTAGATTAACGAATGGTCAACCGTGCAGTTACTCGTTTATTGCAACAGCGACTAAACAGCGGTTTAGATTATAGACCGACGGTTTTAAAAAATTCGTAGAGTTATGATTCCTATTGTCCGTAATTTGTTGACTTAATCCGCGCTTGAATTTTTCTCTCTTTTTTTTCTCCGTAATAATTTTCTTAAAATTTATTAGATTGAACAATGTGAATAGAGTATATTGTACTGGCAGAAAATGTTCTGAAAATTGCACAAGTCTAAGTAAAATTAAAACTGATATTCAACAATGTATGTAAATTTTCAATTTGTAATTCAAAGGGCAAAACGTTATTTCAGAAGATTATATGTCGGAAGAGAAGACAATTTAAAATATGCATAGTCATTTGTACACCGCCTACTCACGATCGATATACATATATAATTTAGCTTTCACATACATTCCATATGAATTAAAAAATCGATCGTAGTAAGATGTCTCATTCTTTTCTTTCTACGTAATCTAGAGCATATATACGTATAAGCAATGAATCATTCCCGATTGTGTGAGGATTCACGATGTCTAGATGCGAGTCAGAGTGACTCTCCGGCGAGTCTGGCGTTTACGATTATTTCGCGTGGAGCACGAAACAATAAACAACGGATGCGGTTATAATATATGGTTGACAGAATTTACGAGCGACATAATTCTAAATTTAAAATCGTTCCAATTTCTCTACCGAATGCCGCGTGTGAAAGCTCATAATATATTTATATCTCACTATTGTCTAGAACCACACCTGGTTCCCTCCTCTTGAAGCTCTTTGCTGTCCCCTGTATCCCTTTCCGTTTCCGCGTATATGCATCAACATCTTGGCTTTCTGCTCGATACTCCTATCCATACGGTTCCGAGTTTCTTGTCCAGGAATATTTATTGTGTCGCGACAATCTCGCAAGTTGTCATCGACGATATAGAATATCCTGTCGTACGATTAACTCGGATCGTATGTACCTACAAATGTTTTCTAATCGCGTGACTTCGATTGCGCGGAAACATCTGATTAAACATCGCGGAATGAAATAAAACGCACATGTTGTAATTACACTTGATAGCGAGTCTCTGAATGCGCGAACTTTGTTTTTTCATCGGAAACTGTTTTGCTATCTCGGCCACTGAGAGAAGATTTCTCTCGTCAAAAGTATGGAAGTTGATTTAAATGATCTTTTTTTTATAATTAGCTGATCTCTCTTTCGCTTTCTCGGAAAAATAAATCAAAAAATATCTTTCGATATCAGCGAAGTCGCGCGAAAAGTTTGCTAGCTTTGCGCTTTTTATGTGATCCGCACGTGTCGTTACGTGCATGCTTTTTTTCTCTTTCTGTATTATTTTCTACTTTCTTTCTAAGTTTTTAAACGTTCACCGAAACGCTTCTAACAAGTTCTACCCGAGCCTGCGTGTTTCCTTCCATATATATTATGCTTGTGATTTTCGGTAGTGGGTTGATCACCTTAAGAATTGCTTATCGTCTTTATTTCCACAAATACATAGAGAAATTCAAAACGAAATGCATGCCATGGAGTGCGTTTTGCACGACACGATATAAACTTTGATACCACGTTAAAATGTAAACTGGGAGAATTCGTAGCGTATCTCCCGATCGATGTCTCGTTCGCCATTACGGACATTTATCTGGTAAATTGACTTTAGCATGCGGTATTTGCATTCAATTTTAACGAATGGTTAGAACTTAACGAGATAAGTTTTATTGATCTCTGTCGACTCTCAATTATAATTTTCTTATCATTCATTTTACTTTAATATTAGTCAATTAATCAGTTTGTCGTGTCCTCTATTACATTGCGATTTCAAATTTGTTCATTTGCAACTTGGTATCTAAAAGTTTTCGTCGTGCATTTAAACGTTGCATTTACATCGTTCCACTGATGATCGTATTGACTGTTTTATTCTTCTATATATAGATCTTACGTATAATTTTTAGAGATGAGAAAAATGCAGGTATGCGAAAACAAAAATGCAGATATACCGCCTAGAGTTAATCAAGCTGTGTCACTTATCACATCTGATACAGATTGATTGCATCGAGCAAATGCAGTAATCTGGCCTTGTCGATACGATCATCGTCCGAGAGCGGAAGCGCTCTCGGGAGGAATTTTTGGAGGCAAAACATACGGATTTGGTCCGAGTCTCGCGCGCCGAACGATCGAGTCTGCTTAGCATGAATGCTTGCTCACGGGTCGCACAATGGATTCGTCATGGCTTGTCGTTGGATTCGGTCAGAGAGAGAGAGTGAGAGAGAGAGACAGAGAGAGAGACATATACAGAAGGTCCCAAGATGTTACCGTCATAGGTTTCGACGAATGATCGATGAGGAGGCCAAATCGATATCTCGTCAAATAAGTCGACATATAATTCCGAGCCATCAGTGGTGGTGCTCCGAAAAATCCAATCGTCCGGCCGATTGATCGGCAGAGACGCCACGAAACGTCACTCTGATAAAAATGCTCGTACGGCTCAATTCGACTTGTTTCATCTTTTTTTTCCATTTATATAAGTTTTTTTTATATTGATGTGCTCTCCAAAAAGATTCAGTAAATAAATTGTAAACTTATATCTGAAGTCACATTCAGAATATCTGAATAAATTATCGGATTTTAATTCAAACTCCTTAATCGGGATCGGAATGGTTCTGAAATGAGTTTTTTGTTTAACAAAAAGTTTACAATTAAATTTCACATTTGATTGAAATAGTTCTTTTTATCCAAAATGCTCCTCGGTTTTGTCGAGGAGGATTTTTTACAACGGAGAACTCGACATCGAAATCGGATTTCTTACGCGAGACGAAGTCTCTAAAGTCGAAATCCAAGCGAATGTTTTGACAGGGCATTATCAGAATGGCGTTATCCGTCGCGTCTCACCTTCTGTCCTATCTTCTCTTTCTGTGCGCTTTTCAACGACCGACGACCGAGACACGGAGCCCGACTTCCTCGAGGCCGAGATTTGCTATCCGGAAATAGAAGACGAAGTAAACGCGAGATCGAAAGAAAAACACGCGTCGAATAGCATAAATAATATACATAACATCTCCCATTTTCGGATATACATACTAATATTTGCTGCTTGATCGCGGTTCTTTTTTTCTCTCTTCCTCTTTCTTCCTGTTCGCGATCTCTCTTTTTATCCGGGTTAACTTTGAGAGACGTGGCTGAAAGGGTGGGTTGAACGGCAGAAGATCGAGGAGAAAATATAATATACAACTTACGACAAAATCACAAACGAAACAGATATATGCATGCGTGGCACGAAAAGAGGTAGATTACCTAGGTATATTATTATTATTATTATTCTATTGCGCTTTAATATCTACTCTCTTTCACGATCCCATCTTTAATACTCTTTCTCAGTTTTTCAGTCTGCTTGATATAAACTCTACGGCTTATAACAGTACACAGATTATTATACTACTACTTCGCTTCTGTCCTTGTACACCGATTTTGTGTTTCTGTTTTTCTATTTATCTCTCACACGGTTTCTTTCATAAGACAAATTCTTCCCTGTTCTCCTTTTGAAAACTGACTTTCCCTTCCTAATAACAATGACAACCAATTTTCCTTTCGGAAAAAAAGAAAAACTCAGGAGAAAGAAACTGCAAACGTATATCTACGGATTTATCTAGATTCAGTTTTCGTTTTAATTATCCTACATTTTTTATTTCTCCCAGTTTGATACAAGTTTAATTGGCATTTTGAATTTTTATGAAATTTTAATTTAGCTAAAGGTCACATTGAAAACATTTTAATTCGAGTAAATAGATTTAAATGATTTTAAAGAGAGATATAAGCTGCTTATAGTAACCGAATTGCGAACTCTCTCTCTCGACAGATATAAATTATCATATAAAAAAACTGCCATATTCCTATATTTGTGTTTGTGTTAAAGGCTTTAAATTGGTTTTTGAAGTCTAAATAATTGTAAACGTACAAAGGGCTTCATGAAATTAAATATTATAACAGTAAAATAATAAAATTTTATAACAGTACCTAAATTAAATACATAACAGTGTTTTAATCTTTATGCAATTTATGATTAAATTATAATTTAAAATTCTTTCCCTCATTTACTACGTATATGTATATATATTTTCGTTTGATATATATAAATTAATTGCAAAATGGTTTGTATTTGATTTCGAAATATTTCATTGTTTCGAAAGATTAAAAGATATATTGAACAAAGATTTAATTTTCTTTAACTAGCGACGGTAGAGCTTGCAAAGGAAATTATTAACAATGTATCAATTTAATCTAATGAATCAACTACACCTATTTACATATCCGTGCTTGTGTTTAATTTCCACTGTGTGAGAAATAAAGAATAGAAGAGAAATAAGGGACGCACATGTCCGGGCATACATAAATAAAGGAACACACACATACACGACACATACATTAATATCGCTCTTGTCAGACTGTCAAGCTACGTTTTGTTCGTTTCTTCGCCTTCATCCTGAGTTGCCCATTGTTCCTTCGGCATCCTGTTTAGTACAGCATGGCTTCCGGCACTCTTTTAGCTAAGAGTCAGCGACGAGTTCGCGTGAGGGTGGGCTGCCCTGTAACATTACGTTTCCACCATTTAGGCATATTAGAGACATCACATCGAGACGGTTGTCTATGAGAGAAGTGTTTGCACACTCGTGATTTCAGATCTGCGTTAATTTTTTCGCTTTTCAGAAAACTTGTCGATTGTCGACAATTCGATATCCTCTTCTCGAGCTTTCGATTAATCATTGGAAATATAAATATGACTAATTGAACAGTTTCAAAATATATATTAAAATATTATTTGTTATATGTCAAAAATGAATATAAAATATTAATTTTTGTTAACGTTCAGAAATTTTATATTTTAGATCCTACTAATGGATATCAGATATATAATCAGATTGAAAGTTTTTTTTATGTAAGAAGTATATATTAAACCCATGTGCATATATGTATATACTATATATATATGACACAAGCGCGTGTATTTTATACTGATATACAGTGCAACACGCTGTATGTTAGAAATTGTGCACACAAGTTAGTTTAGATAACGACTTTGATAGAGAATGAAGTTTAATCATTCGTGTAAAGACACAATATATTACCTATCTGCATTTCCTTCCCCACTTGCCTTTCATTTCGTTCTTTTTAAGAAGAGTAAATATAAAATATTATTATTAGAGTGTGTAATTAGCAGATAAATCATTATTCAAATTATTTAAATTTTTTCTTCGAACGATTAGAGCTTTATCGTAATATTCACGGGATAATTATTGCGGCAAATTAAAATGAAATCAATATACATTCAAGGTAGTTAAAATAGATAATTTAACACAATTTTGTCAATTACACAATTAATAATGATTACGCAATTGCGGCGATAAACAGTATCGTTCAAGATCGCAGCGAATTAAAGCGCGGAACGCGATACCAATAAAACGATATACCGAATATAAGAATGCAAGTACGTCGTATGTATAATGTGGAAACGGTCGGAGAGGAAAAAATGATCGCGATTATTTAACAACATCACACAACGTGAATGGAAGTATGCGCGTCCTTCTTCTCTCTCCGTCTCGTTCGCTCTCTCTTTCTGTAATTTCTGAACGACCCCTTCTTATCAAGCTATTTCTAAGTGATTTCTGCCATGATTTTCGAGGTAACGCAGCACGGTTCACTAGCTCGATTTTTATCGATGGCCATTTTGCGTCGCATGCCCTATATATCCAACCCGGAGAAAACCGGATTATCGCTAATCCATTTCGCAGAGACGTGCTAAGTTTTATATCTCTACGATAATATTAGAGATCAGTCAGAGCGATATTTTGCATATATGCTATGACATTAGGAGCTAGAAAATCTCTGGCGGACATTCATAAAATTATACAGCGATTTGAATCGATGTTAAATTGAAATATATTGCGGATGCAAAATTAAGTAGCGAAATTCTTGTTTAAAATTTAAAACTCTCTTTGATAGAAGACATTTATATGATCTCACTTTCGACATCGTAATTTAATATGGCTGCAGTGAGAAATCTTAATAACAATTTTCCTTAGATATTAATTAGTACCAGAATCTCTTGTTACCTTTTCCAAATTGATCTCAATTATCTTACCTTCATTTCTCATTAATTACAGGGAGAAATTTATTGGCAAAAAGATTCTCACAACACAAATTTTAATAATGCTGTTAAAATTTACTCTGGGTCGTATATATATATAAAACCAAATCATGCTCACAAATGGCCATCGTAGAGCTCGTATTAGTAAACCGATCGTTTAACCGATCCCGGGAAATCGGGACGATTCATCGCTAAATAATATAGATCCCCGAGATGACGGACACGAATTGTCGTCAACTGCGCGTGTCCCTTCTTTTTTTTTGCTCCTTCTTTGAGAAATAAAATCAACGGATCTCTCTCGGTGAGCCTGCCCCTGAGCTAAAGAGTTCTTGCTCGCGACCCAAGATGATCCTCGAGCGTGACGCGCGCGAGGAAACGGACACAGGTTCAAATAGATATATTATTTTTTTTCGATGTCGTCGTCGTAAACCCCTCTTCCTCTTTAAAACGCACACCCCGAGTGATTATTGCTCGTTCTCCGCCCGCGGCACCTATTTCTGAACAATGGATCGCATCGTCGTTGTTGCAGATGGGCAAACTGGGCAGCAATCCTTTGGCTGGACTGGCAGCCTTGGGTCTCGGGGGACTTGCAACACCAGCGAACACGGGTGGTCTTAATCCAGCAGGTAAGAGCAAATATATACAATTGTCGAGAAAAGACGAATTCATATATGTACATATTTAAATTTTATCTCTCTTCTTTTTGTCAGTATTTTTTTAAACTAATTAAGGTTAATTAAAGAGACAATTAGAGGAAGGAGATCGAGATGGAAAAAGATGGGATTTGTAAATACCGGTGAACTTTCAACTAACGCAACTGACGAGAACAGTCTTAAGAAACTTAAATTGTCAGATAAGAGAAATCTACCTCTCATCATCTTCTTCTTCTTCTTCTTCAAATATTTGTTTTTATAACAGGCAATTTCTGTCCATCATACTTTACTCGAGACCATGCCCCGAAAGTTTTCTAACATTTGTGCAATGATCGTAGCATTAGCCGCATTGGCTGGAAGCCAGTTGCGTACGAGCAATACAAACAGGCAGCAACCGGCAGCGAACAATCAGACGCATGAGATGACGGTGCCAAATGAGCTGATCGGTTGCATCATCGGCAAAGGCGGTACTAAAATCGCCGAGATCCGTCAGATCTCGGGTGCCATGATCAGAATCAGCAACTGCGAGGAGAGGGAGGGCGGAGCAACGGACCGCACCATCACCATAACCGGGAATCCGGATGCCGTGGCGTTAGCACAGTATCTCATCAACATGAGGTGAGTACCATCACGCGGGGCCTGTACGCTATTTCTTCAGGCTGGCTCGCCAGTTTAACCCGAAGGTCAACCTTAGGAGCCCGGAGGGGGAAAAGCCACTCCTGGTTCGCCCGAGGTTCGGCATTCGGTGTCGCAAATTCCATTTCCAATTAGAAGCAGTCAAACTCGTCCCGGCTACGTTTTGCAGTGGATCGCGATATGCATTTCCCCTTGATTTTTTTTTAATTTCTTTTTCACCCCGTCCCCGCATCTCTTCCGTTCACCGGATGAAATAGTGCGCCGGTATAGAGATTTCTCGTTTTGCCCTTCTTCCCCTACCCCCATAATAAACGACTCGCCGATTCGCCTGTTTGTGTTACTCGTTCCTCACGTAACCTGTCGCCTACACTTTTGATGTCTTAATGGTGAGACTATGTGAGGGATAGTCGAATCGGCACCCCCCTCGCGACATCCCTTATCATCATCGTTGCTACCCCTGTTCACGGCAACCCGCGTATAGACGACTTTCATTTTTCTTTACCTGTTATATTTTTGCACGGATGTTGCGATCTATAAATGAAGATAAAATAAAAGACAAGACTTCAAGAATAAACGGTGTGAATATAAAGTGTAGTTTTATTTTACTATGTTCTTAAAAAGAAAATCTCTCAGGAAAAAAGTCGTTTCTACTGCGTGTAGCCGTGAGTGATGTTATAGAAGAGGTGGCGTTACTCTGAAGAAGATATCACTGTAGAATACGCAAATAGAGTACGTTGATGAGACTATAAAAGGATTTTTCGAGATTATTAAAGATGGATAAATGAAAAAGTCATGTAACGCCACCTCAGTTTACAGCGAAGCACAGGTCGTACAGTAGTCGTAAGGTAAAGATGCGGAACGAGAAGACGTCGAGGCATCGACGGTCGCAATCTCAGAGGAGGCGCTCACATAGATGCAGATTACCTGGAAGACAACTACACGTCGAGGAGACGCAGGAGACAAGGAAGAGGAGATCTTAATCCTTTATTTCCAGGTCCTGTCTTCCAGGTCCAGTACCACCCCGAGTATCCTGCAGACACAACTCCGCTCAACATCTGTTCCCATTGTCGCTGGCTGTCCTTTCAAGCAAAAATAAACTTACCGACTGAAAAACATAGTTAAAAAAAAAAAAAATGATGTACACGAGGACTGTCGCTCGTTAGTGACAATCAATCCTGAAATCAGTCCCAAACAAACGCATCACAGTTCCTCCTTTCGATTCGGTTTTTAATGACACGGTTTTCTTTCTAGTTTGAAAGACAGGTTTCCGGTAATGGACGACTAGCTTAACACTTTGTAAATTTTTTTTTTTTTTTTTTTTTTTTTATTTATTTATTTATTTATTTATTTATTTATTTACAAGAAAAATCGTACAATTGGCACTTGCATTACATGTACAAAAATGACGCGTTTATTTATGCGATAATGAAGAATTTTTCTCGTCCTTGCCAGGAACCTTGTCGTGTAACAATCTTTACATTTTAGTTATACACTTCATCGCTGTTGTCATCGCTTAATGTTCATTGATCGGTGTCGAGTCTGTTATCTTTATATTTATTGATTTTTTTTGTAATTGCGCGCTGTGGGACTAATCTATTTGCATCATAGCGACATTAGAATGGTGAACGGTACTAACGTGTGTAATCGTCGAGCGGATTCGAGGACGACGATATAAAGTTTGCGCGTCACACTTCACCAGCATCAGAGTTGAATGTACGATTCAAAGCCGCGGATCGACGCACACTTTTTCATACATCCCTCACGTTATAATTATAATCCATTATATTTTATTCCAGATTGCCACTCACATTTTACTACTGCATATAAATAGCGATACCGTATATATTCGTCATCTCTCGATATTTCTGTATTTTTACCCGTTAACTTTGTCGTATTTATTACATATCGTATATCCCAGCACTCCCATCGAAGCCAAGATTTGCATTCTGCCATCTGTCTGGCGCTGGCCTCCCGTACTCGAGATATGTACGATTGGCATGTGTGGTCTCGCAATCTTGTCTTATCAACAACAGCGCTTAATATGGCAGAATGCATATCGTTGTGCCTGGTTTACTTTGATTTTCTATCTTTTCTATTAAAAAAAAAAAAAAAAAAAAAAAAACCACGAGGCTATGGCTCGTTCTACTGACGCAGAGACCGATTATCCTACACATGACGAATTCACGAGAAATGCAAATGTCCTATAAATTGATGTCCCTGCCTGTATAACGAACCATGAGCCCGTTACACCTAGAGACCAAATCACATCGTTCGCAAATCTACTATTAGCGTGGTGGATATGACACATTTGCAGGACTGTATACTATTCTGAAAGTAGACTAGCGAACGTGTATTTATCTTTTTCTTCGTATGCATCCTTGTTGCGCGTTTTCTGCGATCTAGGACGTATTTCGACCGTGTCCCGGGGTGTTTGGGGCTCTATGGAGCCGTTTGACTCGTTCGTCGATGCCTTAGTCGGTTCAGATCAATCGATACGAGTCAACCGATGTCTAATATGAACCCAAACACTAGGGTCTAAATGCGACCTAATTAAGAAAAAATCTCCCCACGAACCACGTAGCCGGTGTACGTGATAATCACGCTCCACAGAGCACTTTCTGGCATAATTTTCTAAGCCTACAACTTGTGATTTTAATTTATCTTCTTATAATTTTAATTTATTTTCTCTTTTTTTATGTCGCCTTGTTCTATAATTCTTCGTGACAGCTACTACTATTATTACTACTACTACTATTACTGCTACTACTATTACTGCTACTTCTACTTTACTATTACTTCTACTACTCCTACTGCTACTATTACTATTATCTTACTTTTCTCTTCTTTTACTTTTTGTCATCTCTTATGTTTTTCTTTAATTTTTTAAAAATCTCTTTGACACTATTTTACGAGGAACGTTCCCGCCCTCACCTTTTTACATTTTGTGTCTTTTCCCCAGTGTCGAACTGCAGAAAGCTAACCTAGAGGCCCAAAATACCCAAACCCCTGGCAGCGGTACCACTCCCGGAGCATCCGGGGCCAGTGCTTCCCCCTCTACCACCACTACCACTGCCTCTCCCTTGGCCAGCGCCATCCCCTTGGCTCAGCTGCTAAGCAAGCCAGGCGCCCTCAACGCCCTATCTAGCCTGACCGCTCTCGGCGGACTCACGGAATTGCTAGGTGGTGCTGCTGGCGCGGCTGCATCCGCGCTCCCGGTCCAGACCACCGGCGTGCACCGATCGCACAAGACCTTTACGCCGAGGCTTCGTAGCCCGGGCGCACCGGGCCCGACCGACAGCGGCAAGTTCAAGTCCGAGCGTACCAAGTATAACCCTTACTGAACAAACGGACCGGAAAAAGCGGCGGGATGATGTGTGTTACAAGGAGAGCACACATCTACATCTATACATAGCGAGTACTTGTATAACATTCAAGTTAAACGTGCGTACGGACGCCAGGGTAGAGAGTATCAAGACTTGGCGAAGGATCGACACTCGTTTTTCTTATTAAAATTATCGAAATAATGTTGAAATGAGAAAGTAAATATCTTTTTTTTTTTTCTAGGCGAGGATATAAGTCGATGCATGATAAAAGAGACTAATTCTTTGGCGAAAAAATATTGTTGAAGAGCCCCCACTTGTTTGTATTTATAATCGAGTTTCTCCTGAGTATCACTGTGCGAAAATATTTTGTAGAATTTTTATTTGTACTTTTTTTTCTTTATATTATCTTTTGCCGGGGAAAAAGGAGGATTAATGGAAACTTTGGAATCTTTTTTATGTTGTAAGAACCGATCAAATCCACATATGATCCGATGCTAAGTCTTTGAAACATATACTATCGTGACACGCCCTCCGAGATCGATGCGGTCGCGTAAAGACTGATTGTACGAATAATGAAAAATGTAGCAGACATATATAATTAATGATAAATTCTCTTCTCTTCTTTACGATTATATCTCGTGTATAAAATTTTATTTGAAGTTTGCGTTACATTTTGTACAAGCGATTTCTGGAACGCTCGGAGGACGCGATCGCTCATGCACCGTCGCAAAGACAGCCTTTTTTGATATAAAAGTATATATATAAATATATAATTACTATGATTATACCGTCATAATTATGATTACAATATTATTATAATTGATTACTGTTTAAAGCAAGAACTCTTATCCTAGTGTAGTTATTCCGATGTGATTTTTTTTTCTCGTAGTAGATAGAAATACTATCAATAGGTAAAAAAAAAAAGGAGAAAGTTTTGCGCGCGTGAAACAAATGTGTGTGATAAAAAGCACATAGAGAAGAGAAAGGGAAGGTGCGTGAAAGAAATCATCGTAAATCATGTGTTTATCATTCTTTATAAGTCATGTTGAAAGAATGCACCACATCATGTAACGTGTTTCGAGTGACTTTTGCAGTCTTCTTTCTTATTAAAAAAAAAATAAAAAAAAATAAAAAAGAAGAACGATCTGCAACTGAGCGATCGGGGGAGATTTATTACAGCACGAGCATGAAGAATTTGCGAAGCATTATACGTATATCCAATCATCGCTATTTGAAATACATATGCAATCAAGTTGTACACACATAGTGATTGTAATGTTGTAACGGTAATTACACTTAATCTTTATGCATCTGTGCACGCGAGACGAAGGAGACATCTGCATGGATTCGCGTGTAAATTACGTTTTTTGTGAAATCAAACTAAAATAAAACGCTATATATATAAATATATATACATTAAAGATACAATCAGATTTCTAATTCCATAGTAACTCAATCGTCTTGTTAGTCTATTGTTCTGTAAGTAATAAAAAAGAAATAATGACACGTGAAGCCGAAATCATCTAGTCGCAGAAGAACGTTCGATCAGTTAAATCTAAGCAATTGCGGAGAAAAGAAAACGAAAAGAACTTATAATGATCGGGATGAGATTCGGAATCGCCAAGATAAGTGTTTGTGTGCTCAATCCTAGCTCATAGCGAGACATGCGTACTTGCAAGTAGTAACCAAGCCAGAAGACATACAATCGCGTAATCACAGGTATCTTACTTACTATCGTAATCACGGTTTATCTTGAACACGCGCGATTAATTATAGAAAATTAATTTTATTTGCAAAAAAAAAATGTTCATGATTGCGAGATATCTTCATTGCGTTTTTCTTCGTTCTAAAATATATCGTCTCGTTCCGTTTATTTTTCGAGACAATAATAAACTCACGCCTGCGATGTTAAGCGACTGTTTGCGATTCAAAGAGAACGAGAAAGGAAAAGTCGCGATCGAGGATGTATCAGAGAATAGCAGAGCTCTCATAGTCGTATACCAAGTGAAACGATGCGTAGAAATAAAAAAAATCTGCTCTCAATGCAAGTGTAAAGTCCAAACAGTTGGAAATTTGATGTAACTGATTCTCAGAATTTCACAAATTTTTGTTCCATCTCATGGTTCCTTTCACGAAGGCTATTGCTAATTGGTAGCAATAATTAATAGAGTTAATTGTTGGTAATAATTGAGTAAGAAAACATACTTGGAACTTGTAAATGAAAATTTATAAAACTTCTCCGTCGAGATCAGTTTAAAGGAGAGCCATCATCGCGCATCGCTACGCCTGGTATTCCTACATCATCGTGCATAGAATCTTACAGACAAATATCTTCAGCTGTACATTAGTCTCTATAACAATGTCGCAGAGCTTATAATGCTTATCAGACTTTAGCTTTGTGTCCTGTATCATCTTGTTAAATAAAGCTAGGCGTGTTTAATAGAACGTAAGAAGAAATACAATACCGAATAAACAGAAATTTGGCGTTCCCGCGAGTGAGGTCCCGCAATGCATTGGTTCACGACGGTTTTTTGTAACAGAAAATTCTTTGAAATTTTTTTTTCTTTTAAAGAAAGATCAACTTTCTCTCGAACGATCGGAAATAAAATGTCCAATATATTGCGCGACCACTTTCACGGCACCTGAACGTTTTATTAGTACCTTCTTTCAAATACGACATCTCACGTGGCGATTTTGTCTTATAATTAAAGAGACAAAGTGATACACTTTGATGAGATTACACATAATTTTTAAATCGATTATACAGGGATACTCTGCGCATGAAGATATCTCTGTTTGTTGTATTGTAAAAGTACGACACAAGCATGGCTTTTGCAGCCACTTGTTTTTTTTTAACTTGCTATTAATCGTAATCATATTTCAGAAAAATTAATGTGTCAAATAAATTTTTTCTCGATTCTTATATTAATACAAACATATTTTATAACTACCGACGTTGTTATCGGACTGATAGCGACGTATTACATAATTGGCCGTATTCTAGTACATTCAGCGCCATTTTTACGCAACATTGTATCAATTACGACATTGGACATTCAAGATTGGATTTAACTTCTTTTAACGCTCAATGTATATTGAGAATACGAGCCACTAAATACGAGGCCCATACACACGTATGCCTCATCCATTATTAAAGTGTAAACGTAATCAAGATCGGAGAGAAATTCGAAAGCGAGATGTAGAGAGAGAGAGAGAGAAAGAGAGAGAGAAGATGTATCCACATCCAACCAACTTGACCCAGGCTCCTGCCCGTTTTTTGGTAAGCACCATCCGTTCCTTTGTAGTCCTGTTAATCGACTTATCCTGTTGGCTGCAAAGTTTTCATTTTTTTTTAAATTTTTTACAAAATTTTTTTCTCACTTTAATCGTCTCTTGCGAATTTTTTTTTTTTTCAATACCATATGTTCTACGATTAACCATCCGAATCCTTGCGGGAGATCCGTAATAAGTTGCTATAAGTTGTAATAACGTTGCCTTCCGCTACCTGCTAGTAACAGTTTTATTTTGCAGGTCGAATTTAAACACAGATCCGCTATGGTTCGTACAAAGTTGATAGAGACCGGGCATGCAATTTGAGACACACGGAGAATCGGAGAGATTCACGCGCGTTGTACTTTATACGTTCATACGTCGCATGTTGCACATCTTTGATACTCGGATGAAAAGATCGACCATCATGTCTCATTAGTCTTTTCCTCCGATATCGCGGGAATCGGAAAATTTTCTTCAAAACTTTTCTCCTAATAAGTACAAAGAAGAAGAGAGAGAGAGAGAGAGAGAGAGAGAGAAGAAAGAAGAGAAGTCCATCCAAATAAAATACCAGAATTTTTTAAATCATTAAATTCAATTAGCAAAAACCAGTTGAAGCTGCGAACAATGAATTTTCTCTCTCTCTTCTTCTTGATAGACGCAACCGTCGATGAATGAACATTATGCTATCTCTTACGGGTCGATTGACTATGTTTCAGGATATCGATGGAGACATCGGGGGTGCCTATGCCCGCGTATCACTTCATCCCGCCGGACCACATTGTGAAATCGCCGATCCACTAAACGTGGAGCGTTGCCGTGGTCGTTATCGTCGTCGAAAGGACGCGGAGCATCGCGGAGCGCGCGAAGCTGTCAGTGGCGTATACAGGGCTGGGCCACGCACTGTGTTCAACCAGCTTGCAAATCGATACACTTGCAAAAAAAAAAAATAAGAAACAAGACACACGACAGTGAGAAAGGAAGAGACAGAGGGAAAAAAGGGAGAGCAAGAGAGAAAGGAAGAAAAACACATATACGTAGCACACACTCGCACGATACTCGAAAGGAGGTCTATTTGTGCGCGCTTCAAGACGTGTACGTTAAAAAATTCAACAAGATATACATCAACACTTACACGTATACACATATACACATATGTACATTTATGCATCCTAGAGAGATTACGTACATGGAAAGGTGAAGAAGATACGCACGCGCGTACACAGACACACTCGAGTGTACAAAACTGTACAAAAAAGAAGTTATTTAAACAAAAGAAGAAGAAAAAAATAATGATGCACGCGCCGCAGCCGCAAAAGCTGCCGCCGATTGGTAAAGGGAACAAGCCAAAGATAAATACGTTAGTTTTCATTTTTATATTTAAAAAAGACGTAAAAAAAAGAAACGAGACACGCGAGACAGGGAGAGAAAAAAAATACGCGAAGAGAATTTTATTATTATTACAAATTATTATTACTACGCGAGGACGCGCGATGATGGCGCGATTAAATAATATTAGGCCGGTTGTTAGAGTTTTTTCTAAAAAAAAAAAGGAAAACAAAAACAAAAATGTGGATTATATACACGCGTTCTCGACGCGTTTCGCGACCGGTTCGCGAAACTTAGTTACGTCATTCCGGACTGATCGGTAAAACGGAAGTGCGGCCTGGTCCATCACGGGGACTGACTTGTTCGAAGAGTTCAAAGCGAGTATTCCCAAGTTATTCCCTGATGAAAGAGCAGTAGTTTTATACAAAATGACACGTTTATAAAGAGGGAACGTAAATTGACACTCTGTTTCGCGTATACGTGATACTCATCAAGTGACTTCCGCTTCGTGATGCATCCAATGCGCGAAACACGATGCAAATTCCTTCTCTCCCCCTCATGTAAAAATCTCAACATTATTCGTAGCCACTTTCATGGATCGCCGATACCTACGCAGACATCGATGACAGAATAACAAAAAAAGATCTCTGGGGGTAGATATCGTCGATACTGAATGAAAAAAGAAAAAAAACGAACCCGAACATAATTGAACACGTATGTACAATGTACACTTTTGTCCCATAGAATCACTCCTGAGAGAGACGGGAACACGTTGTGTCTCTGCTTCAGACTCTTCGATTGAAGATAATTATTTCTTGGAAATATTATCCGGTCTCTTGCGGTTTAGGACACACTTTGAGGATTTAAAAAACTGAATCTCACGCGTATGTGGCTCGTCGCGGTGCCAGACACCGCGTCGTTGAATATCTTTGATGAATATCACGTGGCTTCTCCTACACATCTCTCTCGAGATTCCACGTTTAACGTCGAATTGCGACTTCGCATTTCGTATATCATCTTGATCTCTATTATCGTGGGTCTCATCCCCGTGTCCCATCCGTGACCAATCTCCGAGGCTACAGAGAGACAAATAAACGAATGGATCATGAAATCTCGTGGTCCAGAGATAAACCGAGATCGCGATCGCTCTCGCGGATCGCGTCGAGGGTGGGAAAGTATAAACGATTATAATTCGCGGTAATTTCACGGTAGTTGCGTAGCTTTTGCATGCGAATCTTGGATTCCGAAGAACACAATTGTCGGTAATACTCTTTTTCTTTTTTTTTTTCTTTTTTTAAAGAAAAAAATCCAAAAAAAGAAACGACTGCGAACGCGTCGTTCGCATCATCGATCGCTTGACGTTTCCCCCGAGAAGAGAAAAGGATATCTCGAGGAAACGCGAAGGGACGAACGGATGCGCGCGTTCTCTAGCGCGTGCCTCGACGCCGTTCTGGACGCGCACTTCCGGTCAGCATCCCGTCTCCGACGCCGATCGTCCTTGTGTATGCAGGATGTTTCTAAAACTATGTCAAAGATTTTAAGGGCGTATTTTAGGAAGCAAAATAGAGAGAAAAAGTTCCTACAAACATGAAAAATGTATTGTAATTCTCGGAGATTTTTTTTACAGATTGTTGAAAGTCTCCGAAAGCTACAATACATATTTTAATATTTTTTTTCACCCATCTTTAAGTTATAACTCGGAGGAAAAGCATTGTAGGACCCATGTTTATAAGAACTTTTTCCTTATTTTTACTCCTAAAATACATCTTTAAAATTTCTGGCATAGTTGTAGAAACATCCTGCATGTACAAGTCATACAAGTGATCGGATACGGAATAAAGCCGACGTGGACGTCTTGGACGCGTGTCGGGCGCGCGCTTCTGTTAAAACAAATAAATGAAATTATTACGTGGAATATATAAATAATGATATATATTATATATATATACAACACACATAATATATATTTATTATACGATAAAAATAACTAGAAGCGAGAGAGAGATAAAATAGCGATGTGAAAAGGTGCGAGCTCGAGCCCAGACTCGATCAAGAGGCTCATCCTTCCCTTTCTTCATCATCCTCGTCCACTTTTCAGCTCCCTCATCTTACGATCTTACCTTCTTCCTTCTCTATCGGATTTTAATCCTTCCTCTCTCCCCCTTTTATTAATGCTTGTGGATTGGCTCACGAATTCAGTTTAAGAGCCACCCCGATGTAAACGGCAGACAAATTTTATCTTTTATCGTCTTTAGATATGTGCGTTTTTTTTTTGTACGTACGTTTTTTTTATTACTTATATCTCGTTATCGATTCTTTGTTCTCGTGTTATTTATATTAATCGTGTTACAATCGTTAATATTTAATAAAATTATTACTCCGTCTGTGTGTGTGAAAAGAAGAGAAATGCGCGCGCGCGCGGCATTGTGCAACGTTTTTTTTAAATTATAAATTATTATTATTATATTATTATTATATTAAATTACTATCATTATTATATTTTATTCTAGGTGAATATTTGTTCATGTTGTACACTAGTCTGTACATGATTGCGAAACGCAAATTAGGTCTGCGTCCGACATTTTTTTATTGCGTCCAAGTTTCGCTTCGATTTCTCTTTTATCTCTTCGAGAAATCAATTTTGGATCGAGAGATTGTTGTTAAAAATCGGGCCGAGAATCGCCGGGATATATATAACGGAATTCAACAAGAATAATACATAGTTGTACAGCTACTATATGTATAATATATATATATTTCGGCACTTCTCACGCGCACACATCTTCATCTTTAATAATTCTCTTGCATATATTACACATATATGTGTAAAATTGGCGATGGCGCGGGTGATTTTCTGCGCCGGCAACTTCCATTATGTGC